CTATAAGAATGCAGTAGGCTCGCCTAAACACATAACTAGGAAGGAGGATATAAAAGCAATGTCTTTTCTTCAAGTTCATAAATAAATAAATTCAGACTCCTTTTCATAAAAAAATGGCTTTCTGAATTGGAGAAAACTGTGCTTGATAATGTCAGAAATCTCTCAGCAGTCTGAGTATGTACACATAAGAGTTCATGAATTTATTGAGTTTCCTGTGGTGGACAGACTCAATTCTCAGAGTCGTTTATTACATTAAGCTGTTTCCATTTTGACTGGCAGTAAAGTCTTCCTAGAACTGTCTGGATGGATAAGACAAGCTACATTTTACTCTTTATGACTAAGTGCTGTTCACAAGACATAAGATATTTGAAAGCAATTTAAATAATATAATTTAATGAATGAAAAATACAGGGAGCAGGTTTGTATTCAACCTGATTTCTCAGTGAAACATGAATTTTCTTTAGAATAATCTATACAGCTCTGGTGCAGACATAGTTGCTGTAAATAAATAAATACATGTACATATGAAAATTATATATAACATATACTGCTTGATGAAAACTTCATTTAATATACATGACAGTTGAAGGAAGGCATAAACATTGTAGCATAGTCAATGTATTTATGTGTGTTGCTTCAAGTACTAAAAATAATGGAGAATACAATACATGAAAAATTATTCACATCTTCCCTGAGAATCTGAATTTCAGATTTAAAAGAACTCTCTGACCAGGTTCATGGAATATTACAGTGAAATTGAAATTGTTAAATCCCACTTTTTTCTTTGTTTTATACAAAACAATTTGTATGGTTTTAGTTTTATTGAACTATAAGGTGAGAGAGGCAGGGGGACCCAAAAGACAGGGGTCTTAAATTCGATTAGTAGTCTGAAATAAATTTGGAAATTTTAGTAAATTATTACCCAAATTTTGGTCTAAATTACCTGGCATAGACTGAGTTCCTGGTATGATTACTAACCTGACAGCTGCCTGTTAGAAAGCACATTTTTCAAGAACTGACTTCAGACTAATAGGTAATCATCATCCTTAAAAATGTCAGCTAATGCCACAGAAAATCCACACTTGTTCAAAATAAGCACGAGAATTAAAGCTTACTAATAAGGTTCTTACTACCTGGATATATTTATCCTTTTACGTGAGGAAAATGCATTTCGGAAGGTTAGCTCTCACCACGCCATTGTGCTTTGCCGTTCACACGTTCAGTGGCCTTGCGTTCTCTTGAAAACAAATATTGTGCCATTGCTTATAAAAGACTTTTTAGATGTCTGGAATTCTAGTGTAGCAGGAAATTTTCCCCGCAAGTTGGGAGGAGCTAAGGTGGGAGGAGTAAGGAAAAGTGGGAGGAGGAGCTGGGAAGCAGAGATGTAGGAGGATGGAGAGCCACACATGTATGGAGAACGGTCCAGGTAACAACTTATATCTAGGTTAGTTAATTGGGAAACATCTCCAATTGTGTGGACATCTTGTGTATTGAGCATTACCAAACATATAAAGCCTTTGATTAATCTTTAAGCATTAGAGTCTCATTCATACTAGGTACCACATGGATGGCGGGATGGTCTGGGCTCAGCCCAACCTTGTGGAGACAGCATGGAAGATTGGCAGAACCATCTCCCACATTGGCATCTTGTAGGTGGCAGGGCCAGTGTCGCTGGCAGCTGTGAATGCACAGCCACTTCTCATGGCCTCAGGCCTAGCCTCATTGGGAACATGGCGGCTCTGTAACACAAGACAGATTGGGTGTTCCTATTTTAAAAAAAATTACTTCGACATTTTAGGATGATAGTTTTCTTTGCAGCTTACTAATAGTATTCTAGTATTTTTCTTTTACTTGCATCAATGATTGTTGATCATTGTTTGTGTTCCATAGTTCACATTGTATCCTTTTCTCTCGCTCAGCACCACACATGCTTTTATCTACTGCTTTTCGGTGTCTTAAGAGTATGGGCAAGCTTCAGTGTGATGAATTATGTTTTGTGGGTCTGTGGGTTTGTAGTTTTTATCTAACTAGTAATATTTCCACTCTGATGAAACATAGTTTGGTTTTGGGTTTTTCCCCCCACATTTTCCCCCTAAAGCTCTCAACTAGGATATTACACATTTGAATGGGGGCTTGTTTGTAATGACTGATACAATATAAATTCCCTTCGTTTTCCTTCTGTTATGTGTTTAACACAAAATTAAAAAGCGTATCACAAGTGAGTCAAAACTGAAATGGCATTGTCCTTTGTGTCTCCAATCAACCTAAAAGCTTTTACTCAAGTTTTCTATGATTATCCTTTTTCTTTATTTTTGTTCTGTTTCTGCTTTGGAAACAAGGTCTTGCTCTGTAACCCTGGCTGGCCTCCAACTCACAGAGATGCACCAGCTTCTGTTTTCAGTGATGGGATTAAGGGACCCAATTCACTCCTCCTTTGGGACTTTCCAGTCCAACATCACTGCAATCCTATAATGGAAGGATTTCAATGCTGAGATCACTCTGGATTTCAATATATTGGCATTGGTTGGGGGAGGGGGGGAGGGGGTTAAATGGCTGTGCAAGGGCCAATCAAAACTGAGCAATTTCCTTTTCATCTCACATATCCTAAGCTAAACCCAGAAGAGCAAAGACATCAGGAGAGTCCATGGGTGTCACTCAGCCACAGTTAAAAGACTTAGAGAGCATCGTCAGAACCACCTGGAAAGATATCTACTACAGGACCTCCTAGAAGTAATGGAGCAAGTACTGTCTGGAGATCCAGAGGTGTTGGAAGAGTGAACTGGATAAAGGGTATCCATTCCATACTCACTGCCTTTAGAAGCTAAAGACTACACTGGCTAGCACATGATCAGAAGAAATGACCCACTCTTTAAATGGGCTTCCTTTTTTATAATATTACGTGTGTGTGTGTGCATCTGGTGTGTTTGTCTGCTATAGTGAATATGTGAAGGTGGGAAGACAACTTTCAAAGTCAATTCGCCACTGAGCTGTATCTCTGCCCCCTTAATTGGCTTTATAAATACATATTTGTATTATTTTAATTATGTATAGGTATGTCCATCTGCTTGTGGGTAAATGCTTATGAATGTTAAATGTATGTGGAGGCAACAGTCATTGGATCCCTTTTCACACACACAGGAGAGAGAGAGAGAGAGAGAGAGAGAGAGAGAGAGAGAGAGAGAGAAGAAGAAGAAGAAGAAGAGGAGGAGGAGGAGGAGGAGGAGGAGGAGGAGGAGGAGGAAGGGAGGGAGAGGGAGGGGCATTCATGTCCCAGCCTGAATGAATAAAATGTATATTTGAAATAGACCAGATTAATCATGTTTATATACCATTTTTCAAATAAAATTTAAAAAGGAATGAAGCTCACATCCTGTAATTGATGGTCAAAAGAATTCATTCATAATGATCAACAGGAATAGCCTACAAAATATATCTTTATCTATCTTAACAGACACCCTTCCTCACAGTGCTAAAGGCACACTCAGATTTGCCGTAGATATTTGAGTGATGTATGATTACCAGTGCCCATCAATCTACGGCTGCATTGAGATATCAGTGAGACATGACGGTCTTCTAATTTTCCTTTCTATGTTCTAACTCCTGCTTCTGATCCTTATGACTTCAATTTCCAGCCAATTTTATCTCAAAGCATTGCTCTGTTGAACTTTGTAACCACTTGATGTATTTTTATGATTCCTGCTATTTGTAAGTGAGTGTTTCATGTTTTAAGCTTCACAATGTAGAAACTAAGAAAACATTAAAAAAGATAAAGAGTTTTACTCCTGTGCCACTGCACAGGAGACAAGTGGCAGGGCCAGATCTCCCATCCTCATACCCTTGGGGCAGGCTCACCCACAACTCCTGCAATGCGTGTGGCCTTCTCTTGCAAATACAGCAGCTAGCTAGAGGCCCTGGAGTCAGCTCTCCTGCTCTCATGGCCCCAGGACCAGCTCTCCCATGATTTCCAGGGAGGAGTGGGACTGGTTCTGCTCAGCTGCCAGATATTTCCATGTCCCCAGGCTGCAGCCCACAGCAGGAGCATATATGTCTCCTTTGGTGGTAACAGACCCCTACTACTGCAAGACATTGTGTTAGACTGTGCTTTGGAACAGACAACACCAGGCCAAACAGTTCCAAAGGGGAGGGAGTTTATTCAGGACAGAGGGCAAAGGTAGAGAGAGAAATGGGACAAGATGGTGGAGTAAGAGAGAGGAGAGAAGTGGAGGCTGGCCATGACCATGTGGAGAGAGGGGAAAGGGAAGGGGGGAAGGGGACATAGAGAAGCTAGAGGCAAGAGAGTAAGAGAATAGGAGAGAGGGGAGGAGGCAAGCAGTGGGCACGCCTACCTGGCTGTTGCCAGGTAACTGTGGGGAGGAGCATACTTGGCTGTTGCCTGATAACTGTGGAGGTGGAGTTTAGACAGAATACTAACACACAATGGACCAAGTTGCTCCAAGTAGTAGTATAGGAACCTATCCCAACGTGTTCCCAGGTGAAACCTCCAGCTTCTCACATCAGGCTGTTTCTCACTATCCTCGAGTCTCCGGTTCTGTCTCTCTTCTTTGTGTCCACATCCTTCTTTTTCTCCTTCTTTTCCATTTCTCCACCAGTTACTTGTCTATGTTAGTGCCATCCAGAGTCTCAATGTCTGCGGTCCTCTCAAGAGTCCTATGCTCGGCTCATGCATTATGGCAGTGAACAGGGGTCCTCTTAAGCAGGCTCTCCCTACATCCTAGGCCGGCAGGGCTCTACACTGGTGGTAATCTCATACTATCTCCCTTTCCAAACCCTGTGGTTCCAGCCTGGTGATTATCTTGGGATCACACATCGCCCAGTTTGCCCAAGTGGCCCCTTGTGAGTGTCATCTGTGTCAGGCTTACTCCTGCTGGGGGACCAGGGTCCCAGGTGGGGTTCCTTTGGTCTCTAGTTTGCTACCTGTCCTGGGAGCCCATCCAGTCCTGCCTGGTGCCAGACTGGTATCAGGTTTGCCTTTTTCAGTGAGTGTTTGGATATTAATCCTTTAGATGTTCACCGCCAGACCATTGAGCATAGATATAGCCTTGCTCTTCTCTGGCACCTACTGACACACGTGTGACACAAGAGTCACACCTGAAATGCCTCGAGGGGCAGGATATTATTTAATTTTAAAATAGATATATGTACATTTCCATTTAATCTTATAAAATATGTAATACTAATGATTATAAAAATGACAAGGGCTGATAATAAAATGAAAATTCTAAACCTTAGAAATCCCTATAAATTAATAAATTGCATTATGTTCACTTTATATAGTCAAACTGAAGGGTTTGCTTGGTTGGTTTTGTTGTTTGTTTTTATTCTAGAATGGGACTGGAGAAAGAGCTCAGAGCTAACTAACACCTGCTGCTTCAAAGGATTTGGGTCCCAGCATGTCCATTGGATGGCTCAAAACAGTGTACAACTCCAGCTCTAGTGAATCTGGTACCCTCTCTTCTGGCCTCTATAGTCACCTGCATTCACACATACCAAAACAAAATAACAAAAACTCTCAAAAGCACGTACAGATAAACATAAGTAAAAAAATCTATTTGAGCAGCTAGTGAAGTTCTTTGGTTAGATGCAAAGCATATGTAAACTATTTGGAATCCAACAAATAGATACATTCATTTGAATCAAGTTTGCATGTGATGACTACTACAGAAAACTGAAGAGAGCAAAGAATATATATAATCAAATAAGCTATTTGAGTAGCTGGTTAGGAGGTTTGTAGGAAACTTAAGTTTTTCGTGGTTTGAGTTGAGCGTAGGGGCTGGTTTACTTCATTTTATCATGTATAAGTTACATGGTGTTGGACACCTTCTCTGTACCTGAAGTAATAATCTGTAGGCTCACCATGAAGAGAAAGCAGGAGGATGAAAAGAATGTATAGTTGAAACACATTATTAGATTCTCAGTGCCTTTCAACCACGTGCTCTCAGTCATGTGCCCTAGACTGTCAGTAAGGTGTAAATGTTCAATGTCTCCCAACCACATGCCCTAAGACTATCCGTAAATGTCATTCTCAAAGGCTTAGGAGCAGGCAACAATTTAAGACAACTGTCCTTATGGTAGCATTCTGCTAAAATAGTGTTGAAAAGATGTAGATTGGGTAAATAAAGCTGAATAAAGAATTAAAATGATATAATTTTTCTTCTTTCTTGTTTTCTGACCTTATAATTTTTTGAGCCTGTGTTGATAGAGAAACATAGAAAGGAGATGGGATAGGAGATGGAGAGAGATTGCTGAATCACAAATTGTGAGTAACGTCTGAATTAATATAGCATACAACGTTTCAAGTTAAACAGTCATCGTGTGTTGTGGATAAACTTTCTTCTAGACTCAGGAAAGGTTTTTATTTTATCTGTAATATCTGTCCCAAGTAGTTACAGAACATATGCAGAATAAACTCAGCTGACATGATCAGGTTCTTAAAAATAGATCATTCTGCTTTCAGGAAGTATTAGCTATTTAAAAGAAAGTCTTCCTCTTAATGACCTCAGTATCATATATATAATATATATGATATATTATTTATATGTGTAAATGAATATATGTTTGTGAAACATATTAATAGATGCTCAATATGTTTCAGCCATATGTCATAATACTGTCAGTAAAGAGTTATCATATATATATATATATATATATGTATATATATATACACATATATATATATGCACGTGTGTGTATCATACTACATATATTTATTATGATTTTATATAACTGATATATTATGCTATGTGATACATACACATATGTATGTATGTACGTATGTATGCACACCGCACCAAATCTGGCTCTCTGAATATCTATAATATGACTCCACTTTCTTAAAATTATCAAAAGATAACTTAGTTCCATGTATCCTAAGATTTCTTAGTTATTTAACCATTTGTACAATGAACACTTACTCTTCACACTACCCACAAGATTCTCCTCTGAATGGGCTCTGGTTGTCACTCACGGGAGATCATGACAATCTGCTATGGAATCCGAATTTGCAGGCACAAGTAATACTGTAACGCTGATGTTCAAATAGCTAGAACATAGAAGAATCAAGTCACTGTGACAAGACAGCTGACATCTATAAAGAAGACATTTTCTCTATGGGGTAAGGTTTGAACTTGGATGTCAAGAAATACTAAAATATAGATAAGAATGGAATCAGTCCCCGTATTTCAGTTGTCAGAGTTTAAAGGAAACATATAGCACGCTAGAGAAACCTGGTTCACAGAGGACAAATGAGAAAACCCATGAAGGTCTGGTGCTGGGGGCATAGCTCACTGGATAAAGTATTTCTTAAACAAATGACCTGAGTTTGGATCCCTGGAACTCACATAAGAACTTCATGGCTATGCATAACTATTCTCCTACTATAGAAAAGAGTCAGATGACCCCTGGGCTTGTTGGCCAGCTACTCCAGTGAAATCAGTGAGCTTCAGGTTCAGCAAAAATCTTTGTCTCAAAAATAAATTACAAAGCAATTAATGAAAATACCACCAACCATCTCCAGTCTCCACACATGTGCATACACACAAACATAGACACACCCATATTGCATCTCCATGTAGATGTAGATTCACACCCATACAGCACAAGCCTTCCCTTCATACAAAAGGAACTCATTAAAAAAATACTGCTGAAATGCAAAGTTAGAAGAGTAAATGAGAATGGTACGCATAACGTAATAATAGTTGGCAAAATAGCATTTTATTAATTAAAAAACTTGCCATTATTGCTTTAAAGAATTATTTTGTTCATGTTTATTTCTTCTATTTTTTTCCAAACTTGTCTATTCGTTGATTCCACACATGAACCATCAGCCAAGACTAGAATACTACATACATATTTTTCTGTCATGGTTCTTTCTTGTCTCTGTCCATTATCCTCAGCTATTGTTAGCTGTATATATTGCAAAATATTGGAGGGATGTTGGCTGTAACAATTTATTTGGAATTCTGGCTATTGTATAATTATATTACACATATGTACAAGTAAAATATGTGTATAATATACAAGTCACATACATATTAAAATCCAATCAAAATGTGACATATATTTGAAATTAAATTTTTTAATTTACCTAAAGGGAAAAATAAGATAAATTCTCTGTATCATCGGTTAAGCGATAGTTTCTCATATATAATGCTAAAACTTGAAATATTAAAAGAACCTAAGGCTAGAATTACATAGACCTAGAAAAAAACAACAAATGCTATTGTTCTATTAAAGGAGTATAATGATAAAATGATTCTTAGCAACAGTCCGCTATACTTATCTATCCCTGGCTTGCTCAAGCATCATCAGAAAAGCTTCCCCCTACAGAAGACAGAATAAATAGAAGACCCACAGACAGACAATGTGCAAAGAGGGAGAGACCTTGGAACACTCCATCAAATCCCTCCCTTCAGGACTCAGGGAACTCTGCAGGAGAGGAGGCAGGAAGAGTGGAAGAGTCCAAGAGAATGGAGCACTCCAAGGAAATAATGCCTTTTTACCACAACAGCACCAACACACATATGAACTCAGAGACTGTGACAGAGAGCACAGGACCTATACAGATCTGCATGAGACAGTATTCTAGGTCTAAAAGGAGATATGGGTGCATGGCCCCATTTCTAAACAGAAGCTAAATCCAATAAATAACCACTTACAAGTGAAAATTTGGTTTTCTCCAAGGGAATCTCACTGGTGAAACAAACCACACTTCAGGGTAGACTGTTATGTACCAAGCAATACATACCAACACAAAATGAACTGAGAGGCATCTAATGTAGTGTCAGGACCTTTTGTTGTTGCTAACCTTACAGGTAGGCCTTTTGCATATATGTTATGGCTTCTGGTTTGGGGTTTTTATAAGATTCCTGTGTGAGGAATATTTGTGTGTATTAGCATTTATATGCATTTCTCATGAGTTTCCTTTGGCTCTTTTTCTTCTGTTTGTTTAGTCTGATTTGTCTGTTTTTGACTTCATCTTATTTTATTATTATTCCTTAAATGCCTGTTTGTTTTTTAAGGAGGGTCAGAAGAGGTATGAATCCAGAGGAGAGGGGAGATGCTGAGAAGCTGGGAGTAGTTACAGAAGGAAAAAATAGTCAGACTACACTGTATGTAAAAAGTACATATGGAGTAAATGAAAAAAACATTAAATATAGGAGAATATTAATTTGCAACTCAAATTAATATTATCATTAATAAAATTAATAAAAATAAATTAATATTAATATTTAATATTAATATTAAAGTTATCATGAATTATTATTATTATCATTATCATTACTATTATTACTATTTTTCAGAAAGCACATATATAAGACAAAATTGGTATGGAATAATTACATTCATATAATCTAATATAGGATCTGTACTAAGAGAACAGAAATTTTAAACAAAACAGAACTTTGAAGAAGCATGCATTTAAAACAGAGAGATGTTGAAAGCTGCTTTACAGATCACCTGTAGTGATTTGTAAAATCACTTGAAAGTGACTCTGTATTGTTAACCATTAGAACAAAAGCAAATTAAAACCCTATAAGGAATTACAATTTATTTACAGAATAACTAGCACTCAAGTGACTGCACAATGGCTAGCAGAGGACACAGACCTGCTGGGCACTTACACACTGTGGTGAGTGCAAAGAGCTGACATTTGGCTTGGGTAATGTTGTATATAACCTCCTCAGAAACTAAACCTGTAACTGCAGTTACCTACTTATCTACCACACTTGAACTTAGACCTTTTCTCCCAAAGAAACAAAATGCTCTGTCTACATGAAGGAAGCAACTACTATTCATAGCAGATTTCTTTATCAAAATTTGGTTTCCTATCACCAAAATTTGGAAAGGAAGAACCGTCAAGCGAACTGTGGCATACCTGCACCTTGGAATGCAATGAGTGATAATAAACATACTATAAATTCAATTCAAATAAAACAACAGAAAGTGAAAAGTAATCTTAATGCCCTAAGCTAAGTGGGGATAAAAGACAGCAGAAGGGAAGGTAGGAAGAATAAACATATGAAAGAGATGAATTAAGACTCTGGTGAGTGTGCTTAATATTGGAGAGGTGTGAGAATTGTATCTGTTTAGACATAGTACGACATCTTCACA